GGTGGTTTTGAGACTCTATGTAGGACAATTTTGCCAGTTTTTTGGACAAATTTGAGGCCCTGTGAATAAACAATATCATGTAAAAATCGTGGTCCTAGCAGTCGACACCACCGCGTGGTAAATACAGTCACTGTGTACAGTGTACTCGTAGTTGGGAGTTGGTGATATTTTGATCAATAAATCTTTGTGCAAACATTGCTAATGGACTGAGGCTTGCAGTAGGATGACGTCTCGTACTACTGAAACATTCACTCGCTTCAACTTGACCACATTCTCGAAGAAGGTGAAAATATTTATTGGTTTGAATTCACAGCGTTAGGATGGTTGGATATTTTATGTGTTTGTGTGTGAATTGGAATTGATAGGCAGTTATGTCAAAGGTATGGTTATGTTTTCAGTATTTGGTCAAAGGTGGTTATGTTATGGTAAATGTTTAATGATGTATGTATTCTGGTTTTATGTCGTTTAAATGATGTGCAGATGCATTAAGAGGTGAATTGATCAACGTGCATTTATGAATGAATGAATGAATGAATGACGGGTTAAATCATGAATGAATGTATATTTGAAAAACACACTCGTATATTCTTTGAGAATATTTCTAAAAAATAACATTGCAATAATGTATTGAATAACTTACTAATTGAATTTGAATAATTAGAAATAAAAGATGAAAATATCTTGAAATTGCTCTTTGATTAAAAATGATTAAAATTGATCAACTTTTTGATACAAATATTAAATTTGAGAAAAATTTCCTTGACATTATTAGAATGTATCCACATCATATGTGCACATTTTAAATTTGTTAATTCTATGTATAAAAAATATATTGCTGTGTATACTTGTATATGGCTACTTGTATATGACTATCCAATGGGTAGATTATAAAGAATTTTAAATTTCTGTGTTTTATTTGAATTTATTAACATTGTATATATGTATCTTCCCAAAAAAAGTTCAAAGTTCAAAGATATTGTAATATATTTTAGTCTACTTTCTATCATTAGACATTTGAAAATAAAAATTGTGCTAATTTGAGAAAGGATAAAGTCAAGATATAATATGTTTATGTAAATACATTGTATATCTATATAGATAATGTAAAAATTGTGTATACACCATATTTTATCTGTTACACACTATATAAACTTATGTTTACATTTTTATTTCATTTTTTGACGAATGAATTACCTTCATTATTTTGATGATTTTTCTCAACTACAGATTTTTCTTTTAAAACAATTTGAGCAGAATTAATGCCAATGCATGTATATATGTATATATATTACATAATTATGCCTCTCATGCAGTAAAACGCTATTAATTTCACTTTTTGGAAAAAATTGACTGAAACCTTTAAGGTTGTTTATATGGGGATAAAACTTAGCAATTTGTCAAAAACTTGTCAAAATTACTTTAAATTTATTTTGTGTTGGATAATTTCTCTATTTAAAGACTTAATTTGCCACAAGTAAAAATTTCAAAAAATCCTGCCAGAATATTAAGATAAATGCGATGTTCTGTTCGAAATTAGAATTTAAAATCTCATAAGTGAGTTGTTATGCATCTTTCTGACGTTATCTCGCGATAAACGTTATCTGTTTCCTGTGATAAAAATGGCGAGTGTAGAATCCAGACGATGTCTAATCTCGATGATTTACGATCAGATAATTTTACTGCTCTTAGCTTCATTTCGGTTTCTAATGAGTCTAAAGTACCCTAATTCAATGTGACTTTCTCATCATGGTTCGTTTACAATCGAAGAAAAACTATCGGCAATATTGAGTTGAAATGTGTACGTTTCTACGACATTTCCCGATACGAAAGTAATGACTAACTTGTAAAATTTACGCTCGAAATCCTATAGTCTATGACGATCGAATGTTAGATTGAAGAAAACTTTTCGTTTTAGTGCGTGCTATTGATGCCCATGTCACTCAAATGACAATAAATGATTGTTCAGGCTAAATTACCGTTTAGGGCTGTTCACGAAAGTAACGAATCTCAGACGCAAAAGCAACAAATGCTCCAACTGCGAGATTGCTGGTATCCCGTTGGGGTGGTAGTCCCGTCATTATCATGGGCAGAGTCTCGGTAAATATTCATTGTTTTTGAATGACAGGCGGAGTGAATTGAAGAAAGCTAAGGATGGGAGAATGGAGGTGAAATCATAGCTTGAGGCAAGGCTTTATTGTTGGTTGTCTCACCATTCGCCTGGTAAGAGAATCACCGACAATAGTGATTACATAAGGCATGTTGACAGGTCAGATCGTCATAATGAGATAGCGATTGGGTGATAATTATATTTTAACAGTTTTACCTGCTTTCTAACGAGTGAATTATTGATTGAACACGAGCAGCAGGTTACCGTCAATCATTAAAATCTAGTAATATATGTACGTTTATTGAAAACCTCCTTAAAATCGTAGATACACCCTCAAATCGTTTCCTTCGCGAAAATAATGAGAATTTCCCCTGTCTCTTTTTTTTTGCCCTCATGCATCTCTACGAGCTTGTGAGCTCTCAGATATTTCAGAGTTTTTTTTAGTATTCGCTCTAAATGCACTCAATTTTTTTAAAAACAATTTGTTTTCTGCAAGTATGAACCTTTGGTCAATTAGGTCTGTCAGATGAAAATTGAATAGGTTAACCACTTTTCTGTATATAGCTGAATCACTTCTGCTCTATCATGTACCAGGGTAATTTTCTGGCCTTTCTGAACTTGACAAATTACCAAATAATATTCCTGACTGATCAAGCAAGATTTTGACTAGGTTCATAAAAAGACAGGTTGCATTTTTACGGATTTAGGACAACTCAAACTAACTTTCGAAGAAGACTCGAACCAGTTTAGGACCACTTTTTATAAGACAGGGACCGCTTTTAAAGATAACGGGGCCATTTTTTATAAGATCAATTTTCAAAAACTATTTGTGTCCATTTAATCTTGAAGATCACTCATCTTTACAAAACCTGTGATATACCCATGTTGATTTTAAACCCATTGTCAACTTAAAGGATCTAAACCTGTTTATAACAAACGTACAGGTGTCTTCATCTTTACCTTACCTAAAAATCTGAATTTAATCCGGATTAAAAATCGAGATTTAATTGACTTTCTGTTGTTCACACTATCAAGAGCATCTTCATTTTCTTGCCCTTTGTCAACAATCAGAGGGCATGTTTGAAGGAGACGTGCTTTGTGAATGGTCAGAACAGCTCAATTCATCCTTGACCAGTTCAATTCCCCATTCGTATTGGATTAGATCACTTGTAAACTGTTGATAGCTCATACAAGATATATTTTGGAAGACTTGAATTCGACAAAATCGTACTATAGTTTACATTGCTAATTTATCAGTGCTGGTGTGGAAAAGGGTTCAACACTTCTGTATTTTTGTCGTAATATGTATTAGTTGTGTTCAAGTATATGATGTTATATATTTTCATATATGGACACTGAGAAAGTTTTCTTTTTCTGAAATATTATATTGATAACATTTAATCCAAGGTTAATTACACGATCATATTTGCTTGAGTGCCGTCCGTTTAATATCTGATATTTGATCGTGTTTCTTTGGGAGGTAATTAAGGAATTATAAGGGATAAAAAGATATATATTTATTTTGATATTTATCCACTGGTGTCTAGTCGGCGAGTCGCAACATATTATCTCTGTCAGTCCTTTATAATTACTCTGTAATTCATATGATGATCAGTAAGAGAGGATTGCTTAATATCCAGTTTTAATTGCTCCGGCCGGGAGGAACATGCCCAGTAAGCAGTAAGCAATGATCGATGAAGTATGCCTTTTAGTACTTTGCTTTGCTTTAAGTCACTACGAAACTGAAGAATAAAACTTTGTGTAAGCGTTAGTTTATGTTCTAAAGCACTGTCTCAAGCGCATTCAATAATTCTCGGTAGTAGCCGTTGCAGAGTGTTAGCTAAACTTTCACGGTAGTCCATTTGTCTCAAAAGTGGCCACCTGTCGATGCACAAGCTATTACCGACATCGTATACATCAGTAGCTACAGCAAACGTTTGATGAGAATATTATAAGACGATTGGAAATGAGGATCGATTATACCACTGACTCTACTGGTTATATGATAGATCCTAATTGTTTCCACCAAATTAGTAATAATCATTTTAAAACTAGCGATATTAGTGAAGGTATCCTGAAGAGAACTAAATTTGGAATCAGAATTATTGATAGTTTCCTCAAGACATTTCCGTTAGAATAGATTAGATATGAATTTTAAATTATTTGTATGGATGGTTTCTTCCTCGTCCAGTTGATTAAACATCTGTAGGATTGCTCTGTTTTTGATGGGGGCATGATATTGGCCGATCCTGAAAATATCTTGATTTTTTCAGTTCTTTGCCTTTTCCACAAGTGCACACACATACCACATGTGTTATGAATATTTAAGATGTGTTGTTTTATATTTTCAGATATTTGCCTCAGCCCTTTTCCATGGGTGCAAAGACATCACTGCATCACTGATTACACAAAGGACATGTGTTCAGAATATATAAAATGTGTTGTTTTATATTTTCAGATATGTGGCCTAAAGATTGAAAATAGAGATAATGTGTAAACCAGAATAACCATCAGTATGAAAATGACTTGGAAAAGTGGTAGACTTCGGAGAAGATCTCCTTTAGATAATGTGTGGTATGTGGCAGGATCGTGTATCGCGTTTTTCCTTTTGGGAAACCTGGTGATGCTTCAGACTTACCATGGTCTGGTAGACAACCGAGATCAATCCTTACACGGAGATTCCTTGCAAGATCATGAGATCTCTATCAATGGGCTGTCCAATTCATTTTTTGGAAAACCTTCCTTGATGCGACAGCAGTTCGACCAATATTCTGTGTTCGAAAGTCGATTACGGAAATTAATGGAGGACACTCATGATTCAGGACAGGGTGACATGATTACGGATCATCTGAGCTCTCAAGTGGTTAGATACGACAGAGATGGGAGGCGATTGTTAAATTGTGATGATATTGATAACATTACGGATAAGGAATATATTGCGTCAGGATGGACCAAAGCCGTGTATAAAGGATTATACAAAGGGAAACCAGTCGCCATTAAAACTGTTGATATTAGAGGACAGGATGTTGGGTCCTGTGTAGAGGCAGGGGGTTCCGTTGAGGATTGTTATTGGAGAGCTGCCCAGAAAATCGTTAAAGAAATAGTCATACTGCAGGGAATTCCACATGATAATATCATTAAGGTGAGATTACGATCTTCGTTTTTTTTTGCATATTATTACTTAGTCCGAGACATCTGCCTCTATTTCAGTCTCTGATAGATATTTATATAGACAGTTATCAGTCTAAAACTTTCAAATAGCCAGTTGACAAAATTAGAATAATATCTTTTAAAAGCAAAACTTCAAAAGAGTCATGTTTTATAAATATTTCAACTATAATCTAATTTGACGACAAATGTTTTACAATATAGGTTCAAAACTTCTGAACTTTGGTAGGTGCCAATGGTCATAGCCATGAGAAATTCTGTCACCATTCACATTTTCATTTTCGGTCTCCAACTGTTGAGGGATCTTTTGACATTGAATACAAGTTTGGAAAAATTACTTATTGATTTCAATTTGCCTTTAGACATGAAATATCTTTTGGTCTAGACGTAGCTTTCCACAAAATACAAGAACAGTCAGTAGACAAGTTTACATTGTGTTATTTTCACAATCAATGACTTTGAAAAATCTCTTTTCTAAACATGTTTAAAATTGTAAGCATTCTGTGAACAAACTTTTCCTGCGTACTTCAACATTCAGGTGTGAAAGGCAAATTTCAGTGAAAAAAAATTACGTGAAATTTTTATTTGGGAGCTCAATTATACAATAGGCAACACTTGATTAAATGAATGGAGTTTTACGCTCTACATTTTTGAACATAATGAGCTAATAAATACGGACAAGGCGATTTTTTCATGTCAGCAACTTCGACATATTATATGCATGTTTTCGTGTGTACATCGACGAAATTTAAACTTTGGATACAATATGAAATTTCGGCAAGGTGAATACATACTAGAATCATGCGGGAAAAGGGATACATGATTAGATGATTTTGGAACAATTCGCTAACATTTAATATTTTAACAGTTCTGTATTCTTTTGTTGAACTGAAAGTTGTAACATAACATGAAAATCAAGTCTAATTAAATGTGTCATATTTAAATGCGATACCACCCTGATACAAGACAAACTACAGATCTAGAATTAAAGTCAATATATGGAAGAATGACATTCGTTGTCTGGTACATTACCATTGAGACATTTTATTTGCATCACTCTTGCTCCTTCTGAATATATTTATCCGATTTTCTATTAAACAAAAACGGTCTCAAATTTCGATATAACGTATGAATTGTGGAAGTAATATTGCTCGGATCAGAAAATAAGATATTATTTTGGGAAAATTTTACGTAATAGCTCGTACATATTCACTCGCTCAAATAATAAATTAAACGATTTTGCTGAAATGCTGAAATATGATCTAATACATTCTTTGCAATTCGACCTATAATACGCAAACAAATGAGTCAAACAAATGACTCAAATGACACACAGGAGCTTTAAACCAGAATACGATATCATTTAAAGAATGTTAGCTTTGGCAAGGGTGACATTTTCAATTTAGATTACTCAAATAAACTGACACCACTTCTCCGACTAGTTCACTCTTAATTTGTTTGTTTTCACTCTCACAGTTTTCATAGGCTAATGTAATGGCAATTAATGAGGAAAATTTTCAAAATGTGTGGGTTCCAAATTTCTGAACATTTTTTTAAAAAAAAAGAATAAACTCTTTTAAAAGCTTAATTCAGCTTGCTAAAACCTTGTCATTGTGATGGTAAAGTATTTTCATAAACTAAATACTTGAACTGTTTTCCATTTAATATAAGAGAAAATCTTTTAGAATCAAATTTCCTTTTAAAACAATTTACTGCAGTTCTTTTTCCTGTCGCCAAATATCGATTAATGTGCATTAATTGTAGGTCTAAATGTCGAAAGCTTGTTAAAGATTTTATAGATCCAAATTGAAACTTACTGATAACAATTTTCGGTCTAAAACTAGATCAAATTTAATGATCAAGTAATATGACGATTCTTGTAAAAAATATCAATCTTATATACCATGTTCACTTTACAGCAAAATAATAAGCGTCCTCTGCCTTTTGCCGGTAGATTTTGTTAAAATTTGACAACTCATTTGGACTGGTATGATGCAAATGTAATTAGAAAGTACACCTTAACATTTTCAATACATTCATTTAACATATTGTGCAATTCACCTTAAGGGAAGGGGTTTGAGTGTAATCTACTTAACTTAAAAAATTGTAAAGACCGGGGTGAGACAAGGGCGGGGAAGGTTCGTAGTCAAATCCACGTAAAAGCACATGTCAAAATTACTTTTTTATTTTTCGTCACTGTGTAAACATGAAACAGATTTGTTGAGGTGAAACTAGCGACACGGCCATGTTGATTTTGGATCAATTTTAATACCAGAAAATTTGTAATGAAAAGAACACACCAAATCTTCAAAATAGATGTGGAAATGTTTGAAGAGATTCGGTGTTTTCTTTTCAGAAGAATGCAAATGAATTCATCATGAATAATCTGAATAAATACATTAATTGGGATTTGAAAAATGCAAATGCGACATGGAGCACCTGTTCATAATGGCTAACGACCACACACCCAAGTTCAAATATCTTCACTTATTTACACTTTGAATATGAAAAAAAGATTTTTCATTTTCGAAGTTGACACCTTTTGTACGAATTTTTTTACTTCTTTAATAAGGTGATCATTAAACAGCATGCGTTCGGATAACATAACGCACTCTTTCATGATACGAGAATTGACAAAAATTGGGCACTGTTGCACTTTCGTTCTTTTCGTTAATTGAATACCATGCACTGTACTCTGATAATTCTGATATTCCCTGAAAATTGACAAAGATTGGTCTATTACCATCATTCCTATTTCAAAAGGTCGCCATATTATGACGTAAGGCCCAATCTGTATGGGGTCATGACCTGCTTGTTGCCATCTGTCCGCCCTGTCGTTACGTCTGGTTCACAGATGTAGAAAATGTGCACCAACTTCCTTTCTCCCAATCTTGTGTTGATTTTTGTTATCACTTCAAGATGTGACATTTCTAATAAATAAATATATGCACGTATAACATTGGTGTGAAAGGTCTTTCATTCGAAGAATAACTCAGAAACAATCCTTTTGACCTTCTTGAAACCTGCCATAATCACATTGCTCCTAGTTTGAAAAATATTAAACAATTTTTATCAAATGGAACCTTATAGCTTCCAGATGAGGTTTCTAATCTGCATTGCAGTACCATTTACTGTTTGCTATAAGCTCGATCCCCAATAATCTAAAAGTGGGTCGAGGAGCTGTAGGCTTGCAATTGTAGCTCACTGATTATTTTTTTGTTTTTTAAATGAAATCCCGATAGTCTCTATTTTACCTTTTTATTGGCCTTTTTTTTATCAGATAGGCCTGAAACCAAGCCAATCCTTTCAGCCTTCCGAATCCTAAAGAACAGGATTTTCGTTCTTTTCTCAAATTTCGTCTGCAGTTTTCAGCAACCATTCATGAGTGTTCCTGGAAAGGATTCCAGAACTAGTCTGGAATTGATTTTGTAAGAAGTCCATTACAATAAACGATTTATTGATGTCATCTAAACTGAAGTGTCATCATGTTTCTATAATAAACCGTTTTCTCATGTTTTTAGGTTATTGGATTCTGTGTTCCGCAGAAAGACTCTGAGAAAGATGGCGGCCGAACTGTTGTCATGGTAACGGAATTAGGAGAAACTATCGATTTAATAAAACTTCTACAAATGTCATGGGAAGAGAGATTAAGGGTAGGTTTTCAATTTTAATCACCAGTAGCTGAAAACATGAAAATGATTGAAGATTATACGTTTTCCTGAAGACATTATCAGATAGTGTTTCAAGATGGCAGCCTTGGTCGTAATGGATGACAAACTCACCCGATTTCTGGCTTTTTATAAATTCCATCATCATTGCAACAAATTATGAATGAATAAGGCTGAAATATCGTACAGAATTGATTGAATTATAAGATGCCTTAATATTATTAAGAAAATTGCTACCTTTCGGTTTAGACCCTCATCTAAATCAAGGCCTATTCTTGATCATAGAATGAAGGTACTCCGTATTTTGGTTGATGAATGTATTTGTGACATTTTGTTGAAATATCAAGAACACACCACCCATAAAGACCACTGCTGGAAATCAGCGGAACTTGAGACAAATGGAATGACTATAAAGGTCAATATTTAACCTTCAGTTTGACATTATTTTCATTACGAAAATATCTTTTCAAATGATGGATCTGAATTATCCAATCAGGTTACTGAAGCAAGAAGTTCATCTTTGGGCATTTAAAACAAAATCAAAATGCGGAATCTAATTACATCAGTTCCGTACTAGATTTAAAGAGACTTTGAAAGAAGGCTTCGCGTGGGTTTCAAAATCTGAACCGATAAAGTTTGACAAGTAAATTGCTATAGGAACATTACTATCAAGTCGATGGTTTAGAATATTGAAACCGAAAGTATTTGCATGCAATTACCGTCATATATAAGCCTTATGCAATGCAAGAAATTCTGCGAGGACTATGCCATTCATTGATTTATTCTATGCCTATATTCAATTCTGGTGAGAATTTAACGTGCTCCGAACCTAACACAACGGTATTGATTCATTGTCCCATAAAAACGATTAGACACTTTTCCACGACGATTTCTGAATGGCATTAGATATTAACCTTATTCGAAGATGTAAACGATTGATATGAAGAATAAGACTCATAGCTATAGTCTGATATACTGATATAATAACGTGATACGAGCCGAGTGCTAACTTGATTATTTCATCATAAAACTTGGTAATAACATGTCGGGGTATTACAGTCCTAATCATACAAGCTTATAATGTGTTTTTGATGAACTCTCACGACTGCTTTGATCGACTTCAGCTCGGCCACAGCTCATAAACAAGTTCAGCCATTTACTTCATGACAATAGATAGTACATAAAACTGTAGGATGATTTGAACTAGGATCGGATTTTACGACGCAAACAATTATTGATCGTCTTCAATTAGATTTTTCTCTCTTCAAATTCTCCATTTCTCACCCAGTCGTCAGGTTTAGTATATCAGTTAAAAATCTGTTAAACTAAGCGTAAAATTTGTGGTAATGAGCCATGCGTCATGGACCGTTCATTTTCCCATTAATATTTGCCGCTATTCAAAGTTTATTGTCGGTTTTATGGCGGAGATAAAATCACCCATTGAAAGATTTGAAGAAGGTTGCAAGTAACTGACATTAAAGGGAGGGTTTGAACAAACAATTTTGACCTTCCCCGACATAAATTTCTACTTGCGCGAATGAATAGAAAAGACTGAAAAGCTTCTTCAAACATCTGTGAAAATTTGAACATGTATATTTATGCTGACTGAGTATACAAATGAACGAAATCGTCTGGTTCAAAGATAATCCGAGATGTTCTAAATCAGAAAGATTTTGTATTTCTGTATTCCCTAAGCGATCATCCGGAAGTTGTTAGTTTCTTTCAAACATTTCGAACACGACTTATTCAAATTTCCATTGCTTCAAAATCAAGAGCAAATTTATATCGAAAATTTTCAAGGATTGCCTTTTAACAGTTTCTGTATACTTTTTAAACAGAGCACTGTTATTGAATGGGAGGACGTCTGCTCCGGGATGGGCGGATTGGAGCCACTCAGTGACATCAAAACCGTTCAGGATAATTGGTTTGATCCTGTAGCGGCTTTCGGATTATGAGCTGAAATGATCGTGGAAATATAGGTTCTCGTCTGGCGTTCATAATTGGTGAACTGGCAAGCACACGTGAAGTTGATTTATGGCGATAGATATTTGGTTTACGTCAAGATGATTGGCACCTGTCAAAATCTCGAGCTAGTTAGCAATGGCTTCGATTTCGTACATTATACTATTTCCACAATATGAAACGAAGCTTTCAGCACCGTGATTTACCAGATATTTATTTTGACTTTTCCTTGATTCAATTTTCATTAATTATGAAATGGGATATCAATGTTATGTCAGAAGGTCTGGAAAAAGAAGATTGGCATCACGTACGTGAAACACATTTTGTACTTTTTTTTACCAGCAGTGCACTTGACCTAAAAGATATCAATGGTGTACGTTGGTTCCTTCGGTTCTAGCAGGAACACTCAAGACAGTGGAATAGTCAACAGTGTGATCCATCTGAAACCGCTATTTATTTGTGTGATCCAAAATCTATGCGCACCATCTTTTAGCAATCAACATTATGTCATTCATTTTTATTAAATTAGGACAACATTTTTATTATTTCTCACTAAAACATAGATTTCAATTTTCCATGAAATCGTGAACCATAAGATACATGCAGACGACAAGATTTTCTTCATACTTTAAGATTTAGTAACTATAGTAACATCATATTGAAATCAATAAAATGACAAATATTGTCCACGATAAGAAAATAATGATGGATGTCAACATGAGTAAACTATTTGTTAAGTTTCACCATTCTTAAAGATTTCTTGGATTTATCGATCTTATCCTCTTATTAAAACAAAATATATACATGTAGACAAAATAAGACAGGAACTTCCCCTAAAATGGCATTGGGTATTGATCAGGAAACGGACAATGTAGATCAAAATCCTTCAGCTGGAACTTGAACTCTATAAAGCAGCTGATACTGACAAAGTCGGGGGAATGATGGATTCCGTGCGAGTTCGTTTGGTCAGTGAAGCATTCTGACGGACGTGATTCAATACTATAGATCACTACGCTACTTCACAGTCTCTTCGTGTCATCTTTAGTGCCTACAGTTCAGTTAACCTGTGAAGTCGTGGGAAGGATGGATTCTGTGCAAGTTCGTTTGGTCAGTGAAGCATTCTGACATACGTGATCCCTTAGGCTACTGCACAGTTTCTATGTGCCATCTTTTGTGCCTTCAATAATCTGAGCTAGGCAAAATATATTAAACAATACTTATACTTAAGAGCCTATAAACTTCAAATTATCTTTCCAATTTTTGCGCAAACGGAGTTTTTATCAACTCCAGCATTCATCTTGAAAGGCGTCTATTCGGTATTTTTAACATATTCATAGTAACGCCTTCTAAATGTAAAAACTGGCCATGTTTTAAAAGATATTTATTTCCATTGTTATGCAGCTGCTCAATTCATTGTTCGCCTCCATTTTCTTGTCATCTTGAATTACGAATTTAACAAAGACAAAATGTATTATATTACTGTTATTAATACCACTTGGCATATCCTTAATTCAATAAGAACAATTTTCGGCTTTAGTTTGTGTCAGAGTGTCTCTGGATGATTTATCCATATCTCAATGGATCTGAGTCATTCTATGAAGTTTGTAACGTGCCAAGAATGTTGATTTATCTTTATGGTATGGGTTATACAGGTCGAATTATTACGAATTCGTTTAAGGACAGGCATAGAAAAAAAACTCTTTCGTTTGAACGAAGACAAACTTAGATCAACACAAACAGGTTCCGTGAAAGTTCCCCTAGCACTCTGCATTGCGTCTGCAACAGATTCAACTTTACGGAACCTCACGAGAATAGCTAAATGATATAAACATTCATGAATCCAAAGCATTGATGACTTTGACTTCAGAGATTTCGCTAGCGTTGCAAGTTTTGAGCTCTTCATATGAACAAACGAACGTTAGTAACGTGTATGGAAGCATATCACCTCAAACTTGCGACCCATGAGACACTCAGCCCATAATGGAAAAGTTATGCCTGATTATTGCCAAAGCTTAAATTTTGGAAATTTATTTGGTAAAATAGTGAGTCACATCCATGGATCATGTTTTCGATTATTTCTAAACGTATATAACAATTCAGATGATAATGTTTTTATTCTAAAAAATTTGCTTCAGTGGGTACCTTTAAACAATTCGAGTTATTTTCCACGAGAGGATTTACAACTCATATCACCCGAATGAAAATTCTCGTAATCTCAATTAGTGTCATATTTTTTCGATAGTCAACATGCCAATATTGTACTTAATAAATTTCATAATAATACCTTTTCATATCGATCGCGCATGTCAAATCCTAAACAATCTTAAAATCTAAATAAAAAACGAAATGAAAAAATTACTAAGATATGATTCAGTTTCATTATGCGTATAAAAGATTAGATAAAAATTACCCAAACGGAATAAAGTTTGAATAGAATTAAATTAATTGAATCACGAAATGGTCTATTAGTGATGTCTGTAAAATCTCTAATGCATGCTTCACGCTTGTCAAAAAACATAATGTTAATCTAAAAATTGTATAAAGTTTTTATTCATTTGCCATATTCATTTATTGAAGAATGAAAAATCTAATTTTTAATGATAACGCCTTATTGCAATACGTTGTATGGTCTTCATTAGAATAAGGAAGTTGCTTGTTCTGAGAGCAGTACAAAAGTCATGCCTAAATGGGCTGTTAGTGATGAAGGTGTTGGGAAAATTTGCTTTTTAAACAGTAGGCACAGATGTTACAAGTGGTGCTATAAAAGCCCCCCCCCCCCCCCCCTTTGT